AGATGCTTTTTTGCATTAATTGAGAGGATCTTATGGTTCTTGTCTTGTCTTTTATTAATGTGCTCTAACACATTGATTGATTTGTGAATGTTGAACCACACTTGCATTCAAGCAATGAATCCCACCTGGTTATGGTGAATAATCCTTTTAATGTAATGTTGGATCCCATTGCCTAGGATCTTCATGAGCATTTTGGCATCCATGTTCATCAGGGATATTGGTCTGTAATTCTCCTTCTTGATGAGGTCTTTGCCTGGTCTTGGGATCAAGGTAATGCTGGCCTCATAGAAGGAGTTTGGTAGTTTTTCTTGTTTCCATTTTTTGATACAGCTTCAGTACAATAGGTGTGATTTTTTCTTTAAATGTTTGGTAGAATTCCCCTGGGAAGCCATCTGGCCCTGGACTCTTGTTTTTTGGGAGTTTTTTTTATGACTGCTTCAATTTCCTTACTGGTTATTCGTCTGTTCAAATTGTCTATTTCTTCCTCTTTCAGTCTTGCTAGTTTATAAGTTTCCAGGAATGCATCCGTTTTTTCCAGATTGCTTAATCTCTTGGCATATAGTTGCTGATAAAAATTTCTAACAATTTTTTTTATTTTCTTGGTATTAGTCATGATCTCTCCCCTTTCATTCATAATTTTATTAATTTGGGTCCTTTCTCTTTTCTTTTGGATAAGTCTGGCCAGAGGATTATGGATGTTATTAACTATTTCAAAGAACCAGCTTCTAATTTCGTTGATCTGTTCTACTGTTCTTCTGGCTTCCATTTCATTGATTTGTGCTCTAATCTTTATTATTTCTCTTCTCCCGCTTGGTTTGTGCTTTATTTGCTGTTCTTTCTCCAAGTCATTTAGGTGAAAGTTTAGTTTGTGCATTTTGGATTTTTCTAATTTTTTGAGAGAGGCTTGGATGGCTATAGATTTCCCTCTTAGGACTGCCTTTGCAGTATCCCATAGGTTTTAAACTGAAGCGTTTTCATTTTCATTAGCTTCAGTGAATTGTTTAAGTTCTTTGTTAATTTCCTGGTTGATCTATTCATTCTTTAGCAGGATGCTCTTTAACCCCGAGTGTTTGAGTTCCTTCCAAATTTCTTCTTCTGATTGAGTTCCAGTTTCAAAGCACTGTGTTCTGAAAATATGCAGGGAATAATCTCGATCTTTTGGTATCAGTTGTGACCCAATATGTGTGTATTCTGGAGAAAGTGCCATGTGCCCTGTAGAAGAATGAGTAATCTGTTGTTTTAGGATGTAATGTTCTGTATGTTTCTGTGAAGTCCATCATTCATAGCTCTTGTTTCTTGGTTGATCCTCTGCTTAGATGATCTGTCCATTGCTGTGAGTGGGGTGTTGAAGTCTCCTGCTATTAATGTATTATTATTGGTATGTTTCTTTACTTTGGTTTTTAATTGTTTTATGTAATTGGCTGTTCCCACATTGGGGGCATAGATATTTACAATTGTTAGATCTTCTTGTTGGATAGACCCTTTAAGTATGATATATTGTCCCTCTACATCTCTTACTACAGTCTTTGTTTTAAGTTGTTTACAGTCTTTGGTATGAAGATTGCTATACCTCAGCTTTCTTTTGAGGTCTATTAGTGTGGTAAATTGTTCTCCATTCCTTCACTTTCAATCTGGAGGTGCCTTTAGGTTCAAAATTCATCTCCTGTAGACAGCATATGGATGGGTCCTGCTTTTTTGTCCAATCTGCAACCCTGTGTCTCTTGATGGGAACATTCAGCCCATTTACATTTAGAGTAACTATTGAAAGATATGAATTTAGTGCATGTATTGCCTGTCAAGTCCCTGTTTCTGTAAATTGACAGTGTTACTTTTTGGTCTTTGTTACTCTTGTGGTTTCTCTTCACTTACAGGATCCCCTTAATATTTCTTGCAGGACTGGCTTGGTGATCACATATTCCTTCAGTTTCTGTCTGTCCTGGAAATGCTTTATTTCCCCTTCCATTCTGAATGACAGCCTTGCTGAATAAAGTATTCTTGGCTGCATGTTCTTCTCATTTAGTATCCTGAATATATCTTGCCAGTCTTTTCTGGCCTTCCAGGTTTCTGTGGACAGATCTGATGTTATTCTGATGTTCCTCCCTCTGTAAGTAAGAAATCTCTTCCCCCTAGCTGCTCTCAGGATAGCTTTCTTGGCTCTAAGATTTGCAGGCTTCACTATTATATGTGGGGGTGTTGATCTATTTTTATTGATTTTGGGAGGAGTCCTCTTTGCCTCTTGACCGTGAATGTTCGTTTCCTTCCCCAGATTAGGGAAGTTCTCAGCCATGATTTGCTCAAATATACCTTCTAGACCTCTCTCTCTCCACCACCTCTTGGATCCCGATGATCCTGATATTGGTTCTTTTCAATGTATCATTAATTTCTCTCTCTTTTCATGTCCTATGAGTTGTTTTTCTCTCTCTTCTTCATTTCCTTCCTTTCCATCAGTCTCTCTTCTAGATCACTTATTCTCTCTTCTGCCTCATTTACCCTGGCTGTTAGAGTATCCAGTTTAGACTGCATCTCATTCATAGCATATTTATGTTCAGCCTGATTAGATCTCATTTCTGTCCTTAGAGATTCTGTATTGTCATGTATGCTTTTTTCAAGCCTAGCTATTAGCTTTATAATTGCTATCCTGAATTCTATCTCTGACATCTTGCTTATATCCATATCCATTAGTTCCGTGGCAGAGGACATTGTCTCTGGTTCTTTTCTTTGTTGTGAGTTCCTCCTCCTAGTCATTCTACCAAAGGATGTTTGAGAGAATGAACAGAATCCAAAATATCAACCATGACCCAAGCAAAATGCACCCTAGAAAAAAGTTGAAGTGTCAGAAGCTACCACAGATGTGCCACCAAAGCCAAGATGATCCAAAATAATTAAAAAAAAAAAAAAGGAGGGGAAAGAGAGATAATAATCTCTCAGGGTGGACAAAGCAGAAAAAAAGAAAAAAGAAATGTAAAATTTTAGTCTGCAGTATAAACGAGTTGGGAGGGATCACCTGGAGCTCACTATATTATTTTCCCCTGGTGCTGGAGTTTTACAGTCCTGTGGGAATTAAGCTTGCCATTCACCTGTTCTTCCAGTCTGTCTTCTGGGGGAGGGGCCTGCTGCTTGGCTTCTCAGGTGTCTGCCTGGGTGACGTTGACACCCGCTTTGTGAGGGAGATGAGCTTAATGTGAGCTGGTGGTCTGTGTGGCTTTTGTTCCCTGTGGCTTTGCGTGCCTCTTTAGACGGTTAGAACAAATACAGCTGTGCAGGGATCTCTGACCCAGAGCCACAAGGTCATTGTCCCCTTTGTTCAATAAAACCTCCAGGTCAAACTGTCTCTACTTCTGTGTGTACCAAACTCCACAGACTCGTGCCATTCATGCCCTCTGCAATTCTCCCAGGGAGAGTGCAAGGGACCCTCGAGCTTCTCTGTGTTTTGTGTCTGCAGTTGCGAGTGGCCATGGGGTCATCCATGCACTCTCTTCCACCGCTCCCAGGTCATGGCTTGGTGCCACCCCAATGTCCTTTAGGCCACACTGCCCTGAGAGCTGTTGCCTAGGCATGAGTGCAGTCTTTTTGTGTGGCAAACTACCAAATCCCATGGCTCGCGCCCACTGCCACTCTCCCAGGAGTTCCAATGACCCTCGAGTGTCTCTGCACTTTGTGTCTTTCAAACCTCAAGTGGTTGTGGGCTTGTGCATTCATCCAGTTCCGCTGCTCCTAGGTCATGGCTGGGTGCCACCCTAGTGTCCTTCCTGGGGTTGCTGCCACCCTGAGAGCTGTTGCTCCGTTTCGTACCTCCCTGGGGATGTTAAACAGCTCACACCTTCCAGTCCTTTTCAGGGTGCTCAGGCAAAGAGCAGTCTCCCTACTGGTCTATCTCATGGTTTATGGTGACCAGAGCTGGGAGTCCCTTCTGGGCTCACTGACTATAACCAGTCTCACCACTCCACTGCTTGGGCACTCTATCTGTTCAGGCTCCCCCCTTCTTTCTGAGAGTCCTGGGATCCTGAGACCACAATGATCCCCTAGACTTCTGCCCTATTCATCCCCTGTGCCCTTTTCAGAAAGGGATGTCTCTCATTGGAGCCGATTTCTAAGGGTCCCAATTTTGCACTCTGGTGTTACATCATTTTCCAGTGGCCACCTTATGTGGGCTTTTTCCCTCCTCCATTTATCTTCTGATATTTCCCTGGAAGAGTCAAGATTTTGAATCTCCTACCTTGCAAAAAGTAGTTGTTTTTCTGCTTGTAGAGATCCAGATATATTTTCTTACATCTCAGGTTGAATTCGTATGTGTTCAGAATGGTTTGATAGATACCCGGCTAAATTCTAGGAACCAGATGAAATGAGGTCCCCTACTCTGCCACTATCTTGCCCCTTCCCCCTAATGTTTTTAGGTCTCCATCTTAAAATTACTCCTTTGGGGTGCCTGGGTGGCTCAGTCAGTTGAGCGTCCAACTCTTGATTTCGGTTCAGGTCATGGTCTCCGGGTCATGAAATCAAACCCCACATTGGGCTCCACGCTTGTTGGGGAGTCTGCTTAGAATTCTCTCTCTCCCTCTGCCTTTCCCTCTGCCCTTCCTCCCACTCGTGCTCTCCCTCACTCTCTCTCTTTCTCTAAAATGAATAAATAAATCTTTTTAAAAAATAAATAAAAGTTACCCCTTCAATGAGGCCTTTCCTGACCACCCTATAAATTTCAACCACACCCTGTACTTCCTGTCTTTTCTGTTTCTGTTTCTGGTATCTGTCATTGTCTTATATACAATGTATTTTTCTTCTTTCTTTTTGTCTGCCTCCCCCACCAGAAAGTAAGCTCTATGAGGGCAGGGATTTTTGTGGTAACTCCTCTGTTGAGTGTCACCTCCAGAACGCTGGGGAGGGTTGTAGGGGAGGGTGAAGGGGACAGACCAAGTTCTAAGTGCTTCGTGAGCATGGGTACATTTGCCTGCCAGTGGCAAATAGCCACCCAGTTTTGTTTTTGTTTTTTTTTTTTTAAACAGCTTCCTGGGAAATTAAGATGAATGACTTCGAGGAGAAGGATGTTGATGAATTCAACTCTAATGGCTTTAAGTGCCCAACGTGCTTTGCAGTGATGGGACGAAAGTGTGACAATGAGCTCAAGTGGTGCACAGCTGATAAAATCAAATGTGTTGAATTTTCTGGCATCATAAACACAGGTACTTTTCTAGTATGCAAAATCGTATAGACACAGTACAAGTGGTACTCTCTCACATGCTTAAGGGTATATGTCCCAATGGTAATGTTGAGGAGAAACCAGCTTTTGTCCAGATTCCTTAGAAATGAAGATACTGTAGTAGCCTCACTCTGAAAATATGTCTAACTGGCTTTTTCACATTCTTTCATTTATTTATAAATTTTTACATGCTTTTATCAACAAACTCTGCTAGCTTTGAGGATGCTGGTTCAGCATATTTGATGAATCTTCATCCTCCTCAAACTACCATTATTTTTTTTTAAACATGGGTAATTTGTGTTCTCTGCTACCACTGGGGTTTTTAATTTTCAAAATAAAAGCTTTGGAGAAAGGCAATGACTAAAACGTAAACTTTCTTCAAAGAGAATGTAAAGCATAATTTACTATACTTGCTTTGAGGAAATCCAACACAAAATTCTAAATTGAAGACACAGATTAGAAATGAATTAGAAGAAGTAGTATAGTATAGCATGAAGTGCTGTGGGCAGAGTTCCACGAGGACTGGGTTCTTTGCATGGTTATTCTTTACTTTCCCACTTTCTCCTACTGACTCTGGGAGTTCAGCCTTCTTGGAATTCATCCTCTGTGAGATACTTAAAGGAGCTAGTCATGTCAGTTGGTCTCTTGGATTCTTATGTTTTTACTTTTTGTAATTTGCATAACAGTGATTCTTTGCTTTAAAATACCAATCACTGGATATGGTGCCCAGAGGAGGCAAGGTGAAATTACCAAGAACATAGAGCAACAGCCACTTGTTAGAATGTATCTAAAGGCACTTTGAAAGACAGGAAACACAATCAGAATGATAGCTTTTTTATGGCTATTGTTATTTCTTAAAAGATGACTCAAACCAAGAATAAGAGGAGATTAGATTTATGTCTCACCATGGAGGGTATACATAACTGGAACATAGATACATGCAGCTCCTCAGAAAGTCATTTGAAGACTAATAAGAACTAAGGACTGAGAACAAGTTCTTACTACCATCTGCATAAAATGTCTATAAAAACATGCTAGATCCCCCAGTGATAATATGGATTAGAAAAATTTTTACTTTAAGAAGGTTTGGAAAATATAACAATATTTGAGATGGGTTGTGAGGGGATTTAGGCACCTGGAGGCTCTGTGTTTGGAGGACACCATTCCAGCCCATTGTCTCTGCCAGAGAGAGTTGTATTGGATGATTCACAGTATCGCCTGGCTTATATTTTACTCTAGTCCAGCCTGGGTGGGTAAAAGGGGGTGTATAACAAAGGAGTAGAGTGGCAGTATTTTTTATGTTTTTTTTTTTGCAGGTATTAAAGACATTGCTGTTGAAATGAAGAAATGCATACAAGCAGACCTATGCAAAGAGATGATAACTTATATGGGTTTTCCAATTGCTAACGAGAGTAAAAATTGCAGATCAGCCATCAGAAATGAGGCAGGAGTCAGACCCCCCACTCCTGTCTTCTTTGTTCTCTTCTTGGAGAAGATGCTTCATTGAGCTCCTGCAAGAGCCCAGCCATCTCCATTTATGAATTAAATGTGGTGTTGTGTGGGGGTGGTTTTTTTTTTTTTAGTTTATGTTTTCTTTCATGTTTATTAATTTGATAGGTATATAAAGTTGTCCATTTCTTTACTCATTCAGCAATTACTTATTGTGTGCGCAGTCTCATACAAAGTGGGTGAGGATGAGAGTCAATCAGTGTTGGCTCCCTGCCTTTGAGAAAATCCCAGGGCATTTAGAGAATGAGGACATGCATAGGTGAAATGCTTCAAAAGCAATACAAGAAGCAAGAATAAGAGTGATGCCTCAGCTCAAGTAACCCAAAGATGCCAGGTAGAAGTGGAAGAGTATGGATTCTACTAGGGAAATCTTAAGATTTTAGATGAATTTTGAGGAGGTCTGTAGTATCTGTCAGCAGAGATAATGTGCATTGGAACATGGGGTGGGGGAAGTTGGCAGATGCTAAAGTGCATCAGCTGAGGTTAACAGTAGGGGGCGTTGGTGGGGGGAGAAAGATACCAGTAAATATATGGTTCTGGCTGGAAGCCTCTTTCTGTGAGTGAAAGAAGGTGCCACAAATGGGAGAACACAGTGAACTCATTGAAGCACAGTCCTGCTCCTACCATGCTGGGAAGCTGTTCCTCTCAGTCCACTGAAGACATGATGTGAAGGATGATTTCTCTGTGGTTCTCACCCATGACTGCTCATTACAATCACCTACTGGCTTTATTTATTTTTTTATTAAAGTTTTTATTTTTATACCACTTAGTTAACATACAATGTTACATTAGCTTCAGGTGTGCAATATAATGATTCAACACTTCCATACATCACCCTGTGCACTCCTTAATCCCCATCACTTATTTCACCCATCCCCACCCCTCTCCCCTCTGGTAACCATCAGTTTGTTCTCTATAGTTAAGAGTCTGTTTCTTTCTCTCTCTCTCATTTTTTTCCATTTGCTTGGTTTGTTTCTCAAATTTCACACATAAGTGAAATCATATTTGTCTTTCTCTGACTGACTTATTTCACTTACCTTTATACTCTCTACCTCCATCCATGTCTTTACAAATGGCAAGATTTCATTCTTTTTTATGGCTGAATAATATTCCGTTGTGTGTGTGTGTGTGTGTGTGTGTGTGTGTGTGTGTGTGTGTACCACATCTTTACCCATTCATCAATTGATGGACTCTTGGGCAGCTTCCATATCTTGGCTATTGTAAATAATGCTGCTATAAATATAAGGGTGTATGTATCCCTTTGAATTAGTATTCTTATATTTTTTTGGGTAAATACCCAGTAGTATGATTACTGAATCATAGGTTCTATTTTGAACTTTACAGGGAACCTCCATATTGTTTTCCAGTTTGCATTCCCATCAACAGTGTAAGAGGGTTACCCTTTCTCCATATTCTGCTATTTCTTGTGCTGTTGATTTTAGCCATTCTGACATGTATCATTAGTTTTGCTTTGCATTTTCTTGATGGTAAGTGATGATGAGCATCTTTTCTTGTGTCTGTTGGCCATCTGGATTTCTTCTTTGGAGAAATGTCTATTCATGTCTCCTGCCAATTTTTTAATTGGATTTTATGTTCTATTCTTTGGTTTGGTTTTGTTTTATGTTGAGTGTTATAAGTTCTTTTTAAAAAAAAAAAAGATTTTTGTAATTTATGTGACAGAGAGAGAGAGAACACAAGCAAAGGTAGTAGCAGGCTGAGGGAGAGGGAGAAGCAGAGCAGGGAACCTGATGCAGGGTTTGATTCCAGGATCCTGGGATCATGACCTGGCCTGAAGGCAGTCACTTAGCTGACTGAGCCACCCAGGCTCCCCAAGTGTTAAAAGTTCTTTATATATTTTGGATACTAGCCCTTTTATCAGATACATGATTTGCAAATATCTTCTCCCATTCCAAAGGTTGCCTTTTAGTTTTCTTTGTTGTTTCCTTTGCTGTGCACAAACTTTTTATTTTGATATAGTCCTAATGGTTCATTTTCCCTTTTTTCCCCTTGCCTAAAGAGACATATCTAGAAAGAAGCTGCTATGACCAATGTCAAAGAAGTTACTGCCTGTATTCACCTCTAGGATTTTAATGATTTCAGGTCTTCAATCCATTTTGAATTTGTTTTTGTGTATGCTGTAAGAAAGTGGTCTTTGCGTGTTGCTGTCTAGTTTTTCCAATAACGTTGGTTGAAGAGACTTTTTCCCACTAGATATTCTTGCTTTGTCAAAGATTAATTGATTTTAAAATTGTGGGTTCATTTCTGAGTTTTCTGTTCTTTTCCACTGATCTATGTGTCTATTTTTATGCCAGTACCATGCTGTTTTGATTACTATATCTTTGAAATATAGTTTGAACTCCAGAATTGTTATGCTTCCAGCTTTGCTTTGCTTTTTGAAGATTGCTTTGGCTATTCAAGATCTTTTGTCGTTCCATACAAATTTTAAGATTGTTTGTTCTAGCTCTGTGAAAAGTGCTGTTAGTATTTTTTTATAGGGATTGCATTAAATGTAAGATTGCTTTGGGTAGTATGGACATTTTAACAATATTTGTTCTTCCATTCCATGAGCATGGAATGTCTTTCCATTACTTTGTGTTATCTTCAATGTCTTTCATCAGTCGTTTATAGTTTTCAAAATACAGGTTTTTCACCTCCTTTTTAATTAGGTTTATTCCTAGGTATCTTATTTTGGGTGCAATTGTAAATGGGATTGCTTTCTTAATTTTTCTGCTGATTAATTATTGATGTATAGAAATGTAACCAGTTTCTGTATGTCGATTTTGTATACTGCAACTTCATGGAATTTCTTTATCAGTTCTAGCAGTTTTTTTGGTGGAGTCTTTTGGGTTTTCTACATAGAGTATCATGTCATCTGAAAAGAGTGAAAGTTTTACTTCTTCCTTGCCAATTTGCATGCCTTTTATTTCTTTTTGTACTCTGGTTGCTGAGGCTGGGCATTTCAGTACTATATTAAATATAGTTAAACGGTGAGAGTGGACATCCTTATCCCGTTCCTGACCTAATGGGAAAAGCTCTCAGTTTTTCCCCATTAAGGGTGATGTTAGCTGTAGCTTTTTCACAGATGACCTTTATAACGTTGAAGTAAGTTCCCTCTAAACCTATTTTGTTGAGGGTTTTTCTCATGAATGGACGTACTTTGTCAAATGCTTTTTCTACATCTATTGAAATAATCATATGGTTCTTATTCTTTCTCTAATTGATAAAATGTACCACATTGGTTGATTTGCAAATATTGAACCACCTTTGCAACATACAAATACATCCCACTTGATTATGGTGAATTATTTTTTTCTTAATGTATTGTTAGATTTGGTTTGCTCGTAATTTGTTGAGAATTTTTGCATCTGTGTTCATCAGGGATATTGCCCTGTAGTTCTCTTTTTTAGTGGTGTCTTTATCTGATTTTAGTATCAGGGTTATGCTGCCCTCATAGAATGAACTGGAAAGTTTTCTTTCCTTTTCTACTTTTTGGAATAGTTTAAGAACAGGTATTAACTCTTTAAATGTTTGGTAGAATGTTTGGTAGAATTCCCCTGGGAAGCCATCTGGTCCTGGACTTTTTTTGTTGGGAGTTTTTAGATTACTGACTCAATTTCTTTGCTGGTTATCAGTCTGTTCAAATTTTCTATTTCCTTTTGTCCAGTTTTGGTAGTTTATATGTTTGGAGGAATTTGTCCATTTCTTCCAGGTTGCCCAATTTGTTGGCATATAATTTTTCATAATATTCCCTTGTGATTTTTTTCTGTTTCTGTGGTGTTGGTTATTTCTCCTCTCTCATTTGTGATTTTACTTATTGGGTCCTTTCTCTTTTCTTTTTGATAAGTCTGCTTAGGGGTTTATCAATTTTATTAATGTTTTCAAAGAACCAGCTCCTGGTTTCACTGAGCTGTTCTATTATTTTTTTTTTGTTTTTATATCCTTTATTTCTGCTCTAATCTTTATTATTTCCTTCCTTCTGCTGGTTTTAGGGTTTTGTTGTTTTTGTTCTTTTTCTAGCTCCTTTAGGTGTAGGTTTAGGTTGTTGATTTGAGATTTTTCTTGCATTCTGAGGTAGGCCTGTACTGCTATAAACTTCCCTCTTGGAACCAGTTTTCCTGCAACCCAGAGTTTTTGGACTGTTGTGTTTTCATTTTCATTTGTTTTTATGTACACTTTTATTTCTTCTTTGACTTCCTGGTTGACCCATTAATTGGTAGCATATTGTTTAATCTTCATGTATTTGTGGTCTTTCTAGATTTTTTCTTGTGTATGACTTTTAGTTTCATAGAGTTGTGGTCAGAAAATATGCATGATATGATTTTGATCTTGAATTTGTTGAGGTTTGTTCTGTGTGCTAATATGTGATCTATTCTGGAGGATGTTCAGTGAGCACTTGAAAAGAATGTGTATTTTGTGGTTTTAGGATGGAATGTTCTGAATATATCTGTTAAGTCCATCTGCTCCAGTATGTCATTCAAAGCCATTGTTTCCTTGTTGATTTTCTGCTTAATCTGTCCATTGCTGTGAGTGGGATATTGAAGTCCCCTACTATTATTGTATTATTATTCATGAGTTTCTGTATGGCTTTTTATTAATTGATTTATATATTTGGGTGTTCCCAAGTTGGGCACATATTTACAATTGTTAGATCTTCTTGATGGATAGACCCCTTAATTATGATATAATGTAGTGCCCTTCTTCATTCTTGTTACAGTCTTTGGTTTAAAATCTAGTTTGTCTGATATAAGTATGGCTACTCTGGCTTTTGACATCCGTTAGCATGATAGATGGTTCTTCCCCTCGCTTTCAATCTGCAGGTATCTTTAGGTCTAAAATGAGTCTCTTGTAGGCAGCGTATGGATGTTTTTGTTTGTTTGTTTGTTTGTTTGTTTAATTCATTCCGATACCCTGTGTCTTTTGATTGGAGCATTTAGTCCATTTACATTCTGAGTGATTATTGATAGACAGGAATTTAGTGCCATTGTGTTACCTGTAAAGTTGGTGTTTCT